TATTACGATTCTCTTGTCACCTACCCCTTGGGCACTATGTGCCTTGAAGGTGCCAGTCTGCAATTTTGCGTCACAGCTACAGCAGTCTGCAGCTTCGGAGGAGGCCGGAGCCCCAAAGCTGCGTTCATACTTTGCGACAGTGTCAGGAACATCGGCGTTTCGAGCGCCCGTTAACGTCAGCAGCTAGGAAGAGTATGGATATCGATTCAGCGTCTACCAGCGTCCACCAGCGACCACCAGCGCTTCGAGGGACTAGGAAAGTATGGATATCGATCTAGCGTCTACCAGCGTCCACCAGCGTCCACCAGCGACCATCAGCGTCTTGATGGACCAGCAGAGTATTGACATCGATTTAGCGTCTACCAGCGTTCAGGGCGACCACTAGCGTCCATCAGCTACCGGCAGTACGGTATTGTGTGGCAGTACGGTGCGGTTGCACACGCCACAATTTCACGACGCCTAATCCAGCTGTCTCCTCCCTCCTACTTCCCCATACTCCACCAGAAGCCTGCTACCCTCCCACTTCACCATACTCTCTACTGGTCGCTGGTGGACGACTGGTAGACGCTGGTAGACGCTGCCCTTCGCTAGATCGATATCTACACTTTCTAGTCGCAGACGCTCACGCACGAAACACTGATGGTCGCTGGTGGACGCTGCTGCTCGTCGCTGATGGACGCTGCCTCAAAGTGTGAACGCAGCCTGAGCAGGAATAAAATTGAACTTATTCAAGGCACTATTCTAGTAGAAGGGCACTGACGAGCAGACGTGGCATAGTCACGCTTCCCCTCCCCCTACAAAACTACCCCTGTTCCCAGCAATTCCCAGAACATTTTAGAAAATGCTCACATATTTTATAGGCGAAATACGAGAAGCTCTTGAAAGACTATGGTCTATATGACAAAGCTATGACTTTCCGTGAAACAGCCAAAGTAATCGCGTACCAAAATAAACCAGCTATGGAATTCGTATCGGCAGTAAGTTTACAGGGGTTTCATTATTTAAAAAAAACGGTGTTTAGGACAGTTCCCGTGTGTTCAGTCATGATCCGGTAGCCCATAAGTAACTGGGCAGTACAGAAATAAGCAAAAAAAACCTTGAAAACACTATGAACAGGGCCCCCCTTAGCAGTGGGCGCCTTGGACGAGTTCTCAGGCGTCAGCAAGCCCAGTCAGCAGGATTCAACGTGCAACCAATTCCCGGCAAGAGCGCAAGGAACTATCCTACGATGCTCCAGGCAACGCTATGTACACACGCAATTCCGCTTGTAAGCTGTTGTCTTGCAGAGTGAAAGTAATCGTGGTTGCAATGCTCGTGGGTCTTTAACTTCTTTACCTCGCCGTCTCGAGTGACGAAAGTGGCATATTCTCCGCTAATGTGGGCAACGATGCCAAATACACGTTTTGCGTTTCGCGGACCACTTGATCGCGAACTGTCTTTAACCTAGTTTAGCACAACCACGCGATAGTGCCTCAGCTTCTCTTTCCCCCAACCAAGGCTTGGACTCAGAGCGCAGATGACCAGAGTCGTACAGATATAGCTCGGAAAGATAGAGAACGACAACTCTAATACATTGGGAGGAACGAAAAAAAGTGGTGGCCCATGAGGTAGCATCTTTCAAAAGGGGAGGAGGCCGAGGGGAACGACTTGTCTTGCGTGAGAAGTTTGAAATGTGAAGTCGGAGTGCCCGTAGGACTCCATGTAGACGAGAAACTGGGGAGAAAAGGAGATTTGAAAGCTCACGGCGACTCTGGTCGTCTGCGCTCTATGCCGGAGCCTTGTTTAGGAAAGAGACGCAGAGGCACTCTCGCGTTGCCCCGGACTACATTAACACCTGGAAGACTTCATTTTAGGCGCTCACCTTCGGTCGACAAGCAAGAATTGGCCATATGACGGCGGAAAAGGCAGCCGAGAAGTAATCGACTTCTGTTAATTCTGAATCGCTCACTAGCTATTTATTTTTATTTTCAGCGTTATAAACTATTGGAACAAACTGGCAAAGGATGCAAAAGACTATCTGCTTGGCAAGTTTCCTGCACTCAAAGAAATTTCGAGTTTTACCTCGTAACTGAATAAATATTGTTGTTTTTGTGTTCATAACAACCACTGAAGTGACCTTCTCCACTCACAACGATGCCCCCAACGGGTTTTTTTGAAGCAAAGGTTGTGGAGGCGTGGCAATGCCATATTCTGTCCACCTGTCTGCATCCTCTCACTGAGATAGTGCCCAAAGTGGTTTTGGAGTGATTCTTGATGTGTTTTGTACAGATCGATTGCGATCAAGAAACTGGGCGCTACCAAGTGATCCCTTCCTTGTTAGGCTCAGTATTAGTGGAGCGCAGGCGATCAGAGCCTGCACGCCGTCCTAGGCATCAGCGTCTGCCCACCCTTCCCTCCCCCCACTTCATCAGCTGTAGCGGCACAGGAAATAGGTGTACGTACCCATTCCAAAGCTTCTAGAAGACATGGCAAGAGAGTGAAGTGTAAAATATGACATGCAGCACCGGTGGCGCATCCCCACCTAACTTTGTCTCTTACATGGTCCGCCAAGTTGGCTGTCTTCATGTTAGTCAACCACTCAGTCAGTCAGCCTGTCTGCCTGTCAATCTGTCTGTCTATCTGTCTGCCTGTATCTGTCTGTTTATTTGTGAAACTTTTGATGTTACCTTCACATTGCCAATGCAAGCCATATAACTCAGTGAATCGGGAAGATCTCTTCAGTACCTACCCCTATGACCTTGAGGCACCACCTGCCGCTGGGGGAAACTCCTGCAAAATACGACCTCCTCCCTTGAGAGTTCCTCGACCACATCTTCCCTATCCTACCCAAGATCTTTCTACCCCTCTCCCAAAGATGTTTTCTCCCGAAAATTCCGTCACTTCTTCCCGAAAAATGATCATAATGGAGGAAGTGGGAGAGCAGATACCACCTACCCCTTCCCCCTCCATCCAGCGACCAAATACGACTCCTCTAGCTGAGGTCTTTCACATACGACGTGTCCTCAGCGACCCGCCTCTTCCACAGATCAAGTGCTCTACTCCTTGCCCCACCCGCCTAGGGGAATGTCCTAGCGATATGTACTGCGCCCGCCTTCGTAACCCCACTTGGTAAGAAACGCAGAAATTACGTCGTGGGTGAAGTTCCACCACATTAGGACTGTTGACAACAACAGCAGTAGTTGATTTACAGATTAAAAAAATCACAAAGTCTTATTACACCAGGAATTGCTACCATCAACAACAGAGAAATTCAGCATCGGAATTGAATTCACCTCGTTTCACATAGGAAAAAACGGCGCCGTTCGGTATAGGAAGGGGCATTTTGCCCTACCGCTGATTTCTTACGCTAGTTCATTTTAACTAACAGGTCCCCCCTCGGTGGAACGTGTGAATTTCTATGAGATGGTACAAGTTAGCCGCCTTGTTACAGGAGTTCACAGGTCTTCACAAGGACAACCTTCAGCGATGATGAATACTTCGATGCTCTTACCGAGCCGAACTGCGCCAAAAAACAAGTGGACCTATTTTCTACTTGTGTGCCTTACTACCCTAAATTAAGTGGAATTGGAGAGGGCAGGGCTTCGGAAGAAATTTGTTATGGCTAGGAACCCATTTTCTTTGAGATCACTG